AATAATCCTAGAAACTGAGTTTCTGTTTCCCTTGTGAGCCCTGAGGTTCTGTTTCCCTTGTGAACCCCCACTCCGGTGGCTTCCATTGTGCAAACCCAGGTCACCGCACTGGGCCATGTTCTGCACCTGCATATCCTTTGTGTCACAAGCCTAAGGTAAGCATAGGCGGAACTCCACGGGGTGTCCATGGGTCTCCTGCACACTCCAGAGGGTGCTGTGGCAGGTGTGCATGCCGTGGCAGGAAGCTGGGGTCCACCTTAGAGTTTTGCTTCCTGCACTTACCCTGTTCCAATTCTGAGAAAAGTGTGTTCCGCCCTGCTTCTGATGTGGTCCCATCCCCCAGGTTTCACTGGCAAACGCCACCGCCTCTGTGGTGGCCTGGTAAAGTGTCAGCCTGGTTAAGGCCAGTGACCTCCAAATTCCCTTTTTAGACTATTTCGGTCAAAGGGGGTGGGAGGCCTGCTGCACAACCAAGGGGAGGCGACAGCTGTCCATGCCTGGCTCGTGTCCCTGCGCCTGGGGCAGCGTAGGAGCCACGGCGTCTCCTCCACAGCTTCCCTGCCTCCTGCACAAGGCGCGTGCACACTGCGTGGCTCAGTGTCTGGTTGGGTAGGACCTCCACGGGCGCCTACCCCAGAGGCCACAGAGCAGTCTCCGTGGCCTTCGGTCCACCCTCACGCTCCAGATTGTGCTGCGAGGCCGCGCGGCTTGCAGACATGGTTCCTAGAAGTGGCTACAGAGTGAGCTCCGAACTGTGTCAGCACACCCCTGATTCCAGCTCTTGCTTTAATTTTTCTTGTTTCTTTTTTTATCATAGTAGCAGGGCATCTTTTTCTTTCTTTCTTTTTTCAGTACTGGGGATCGAACTGAGGACCTTGCACAAGTCAGGCAGGCACTTACGCGGCCGAGCTATCTCTCTAGCCGGAGCAGCAGGCCTTCTAATTGTAACCAAGAACGCCACTGAAATGGCTACCAAGGACGTATGTATGATTTCAGAGCTGCTGGCTGGAACCCATGTTTTGTGACTACACAAAACTTAATTTCACGCCTTGCATAAACATTTGCTCATTAACAGCAATTGTTTCAAGTTTTAAAGAAAACCACTTATCTGTGTTGGCTCAATTACAGCCAGCCCCTCCTTGTGATTTTTCACAGCGCGACGGCTGAAGATGTTTACCTTCCCAATGGGCAGGAGACGCGCGGCACGCCCCGGGCCCGGCACAGAGAGGAGACTGAGCCGCCGGGCGGCGGCGATGGCCGACGCGCTCCGGGTGCAGCCGCGCGGCACGCGGCCCTACAGCGGCTCAGCCAGGACACTGCAGGACTGTTACAGCCTTCCAGGGAGCTAGGGCTTCCATTTAAATAAACTGTCCCTTTGAACGTAAAAGGCGTTTTGTCTGCTATTTCGCGTGTGACGCGTAGTCACCGCTACTTTTTATAGCTTTGCTCTATTTTCAGTCTGTTGAGCAAAAAATTTAGAGCTACTCTGTTTTTTACAGTCATTTTAGACCTTCCACTTTCTGAGCAGAGATGCTTCAGCGTGTTCTGCAGCCGACGTGTTGAGGACGAGTGGAAGCAAATCCTGGCGGCCTTCTCCTGTGCGAAGCAGAGCTGGGCGCAGGAAGTCTGCTGTCCCGATTTGCCGTGTGATTGTGAAAAGAGGACTTTCAACAGTAGTCCTCGGGACCTGGAAGGCGGCATCTTAGTGTTGCCGGGTGGTTTGCCCACTCAGCACAGCACGTGCAGGCGTCGTGGCCCAGGCTCACAGGAAGGCTGGATGTGATTTAAACTTTCACAACCACTACACAGCCACCTGCTGGTCCTCTCTCTCGGTCGAATGGGCAAGTGGCAGGCCAGGCTGGCACCCCGCTCGTGTCAGAATTCCTGCGCTTGAGATTTGTGGCTCTGCTCGTCGTTTTCATCAAAGCTTAATTAAGCACGTGTGAAACCTGTAGTGATTCATTCCTAGAAACTCTCTGTGTCTTTCGCATGGACACTTGAAGTTAACGGCAACCGAGCTCGCAGCCCTGACGTTTCCACCCATCCAGCAGCATTAGACCACGGTGAGCCACGGAGACTTCACCCACGCCCTGCGACAAGTCCTGCTTCGTGCCGCAGCCTCTCATCTCAGAACCCGTCTGTGTGTCTCCTCTTCCCATCCAGGGCCACCTCCCCTTTGGGGGCCAAGCCCACCACCCCAAAGAGCATCATGTCTCAATTTTTTTTGTAGGCAATAAACTGCAGGATAAAGTAAGTTCCAGGCCTTGCCTACGACAGCATGAACTGCCTATTGTCAACCTAGGGCTCCTAAATGAGACACAAAATTTACAAACCATAGAAGAAAATACACTATATTTGGTCATATTAAAACTTTAAAAATATCTGTTTATCAAAATATAACTTAAAGATAGGGCTGGCAAGATAGCTCGGTGGTCTAATGAGCCTGCTTAGGCAAGCTTAGGCAAGTGCACAGGGATGGTTCAATCCCCGGCCCCACATGTCACACCAGCCCCACCCTGAGGTGGGCTGAGCCAGCCACACAAAAAAGAATATATATATACATATATATATATGTATGTATAGATAGATAGATAACCAAAAGACATTTAGAAGGACATATTTCCCATGGCAACAAAGGCCCATATCTAGTATGTATGTATGAATATATAAATAAAAATTCATATATGTATGGATATAGATTCATAGCAACCTCATGAAAAATAAACTATCTGAAGAGTCACAGCAAAGAAGAACCGCAAATGGCCAATGCACAGAAATATATCTCCTTCACCAGTAATTGAAATATGCTAATTAAAACCTACTAATATGCCACATGCCAAATAGATTGGCAACCCCACCCCAAAATTAACCAGAATGAAGGGTCATGAGGAAGAGGACCGTGTAACCAGTGCCCTGCTGGTGACTGTAACTGCGGGACTGTTTTGGAACCCAGCCCAGGTCGGCATCGCTACTAAATTTGAAGCCACGTGCACGAGAAGACAGGGTAGCTGCACCCCTCGGAATACACCCGTGCAGAGCTTCTGCACGCGCATTCCTAGACAGACATACGGAGCAGTGCTTGGCAGTGGGGTCCTTAAGAGCAAAATAGAGAACACTAAACATGGTATTTGATATTCAAATGAATAAAAGTCAAGTTTTACAATGCAAGACGCCCCAGCAGCAGACAATGAACTGCAGCTGCACCCAGCAACTTGGGTGAAGCTCAGAAGTACAATGTTGACCAACCAAAGGAAAACAGCATTCTGCGAAATGATACCTAAAGAACATTCTGGGAAAACATGTACAAGACTGCTCGACCTATATTTAGGGTCAAGGCATAGGTGACAAAGCTACAAATCTCTGCAAAGGGATCTGAGGCCCTTGCAGGGAACAGCGAAGCCACACAGCTTGTGGAGGTGTCCCACGTGTAAGGCATACTGACCGGTGCTCAATGCACCACGAACTTCTAGACAAAGAGTCATCAAAATGTATGGTGAATATTTCTGTTTTAAAGACTTATTGCAGGATGGGCCAGCCAAATAGCTCAGTGGATTAAAGCTCCTGCAAGCAGGCGCAGGGGCTGGGGGTTTGATTCCTGGGCCTGCCGCACCAGCCCTGTCCCTGGGACACACTGAGATGGTGATTGAGACTGGGTGTGGTGGCACGCCTGTAATCCCAGCTCTTGGGAGGCTGTAAACAGGAGGATCACTATGAGTCTGATCTAGTGGTGAGATCCTGAACACCCTAAGACCCTTCCCTAAAATACAAAAAAAAAAAAAAAATTTAAAAAACCTTCAAAAAGAATTATTTCGGGAAAAGGTTCAGGCCATTTGTCTCAGAACAGATGCCCCTGGCTTCGGCCTCATGGCCTCCGCTTTCAGAAGCAGCACAGGGCGTGCTCTTTCACTACGTGACGCAGCGAACGCTGGTGCCCGGTGCCACCACCAGGAGGGCGGGCAGGTGGACAGGCAGGTGCGTCCTCGTGCACACTGGGTGCCCCCTCTGGCTGGGCGACTCTGGCTCTTGCTCAAGGCCAACAGGACCAAGCACAGAATGCCGGTTCACCGACTCACCCCGTAGCCCACCTTGTCTGAAGGCAAGATCTGCACCAGCACTGTTTGCTTCAACAGCCCCTTTGCAAGGTCTCAGTGATTCTCGCTGTCTGAACAGCGAGGCTCCGGCGGCCAGACTGCTGTTAAAGGCCTTCTACCACCACTGGAGCTCAGTCCTCAGTGTGGGGCTGGAGGAGCGGCCTCGGGCAGGCGGCTGGGCATCCACTCAGAGGTCAGTGCACTGACGGGGTGCGGGAGAGTGGCCCTGCTGGGCAGGATGGGCATGCCCGGCACGCCTGCTCCGTCTCACGGTGTGGCACTCTTTGCCATGTCATGACAAAGCAGAGGGCCCCACCCAGAAATGGAGCCTGTGTCCGCGCCACGCTGGCCTGCACAGCTTCCGCAGCAGCAAGCTGTGTGAACATCTTTTATTAATACATTGTCCGGTCTCAAGGATTTTGTTACAGCAACATAAATGGACTAAGACACCAAGTACCAAGCATGATTCCATAGCTGCCTGATATAGACCTCAGGACTCCTAACTCAGGACCCCGCGCTGCCAGGCAGGTGCTTCAGCCGCTGAGCTATCTCGCCAGCCCTTTTTTTGGTGGGGGAGGGATTCTCTCAGGATGCCTTCAGGGCAGGTCTGGTTTGGCTTGAGGATGAGGGGATCCAGCCACAGCATTCTGAGCCTCACTGCTTTGTTTCAGCAGGCGCTTAAACACCTGAGCTAATGGGCAGACCCCGCCCCCACCGCCACCGGACTTTGTTTTTTTGAGACAGGGTTTCACAACGTAGATCAGGCTGGCCTCAAACTCACAGCAACCCTCCTGCCTCAGCCTCCCGAGTGCTATGATGACAGGCATGCGCCATCACCCCTGCCTGCTCTCAGTATTAACGTGAACTTCCATTTCATCTGAAAGGGATTTTAAAGCATCTCTTTCTCACCTCTGCCCGTGAGCCCTCGCAGTGCGCATTCTCACATGCAGATCAGCCTTTGGCCTCCCCTCTTCCTGTCCAGTCCTTGTTTATCTTCTCCTTGAACACCAAGCCCAGTTTCTAACTCATCTATGAACTTTACCCACACAATTCTGCTGAACCAGAGTCATCCACCACCGATGGCCTGTACCAGGAACTGTGTGTGTTACCTCACTGGCGCCTGAGCTTTCGACATCTCTTATCTCTTCTTGCATGTGTCTGCATGTATGCGAGGCGTGGTCACACATACAGTGTGCTTTCAGTAGTTATTGCAGTAAAAATCGCACTGTCACTGTTTCTCTCAAAATGCTCGCCTGGCCCCACAGCTACCCTCTCTGTCTTGCCACCCACATGTTCTTTTATACAAGTGTATGTTTTCTGCCTTTAAAGTGACTAGAAATTCCTTAAACAAGAGTGTGATGCTTTGCATTTCTTGCCATGGCCTCGTGGGCTTGGCCCGGTAAATACATATTGCACAAAAAATAAGCCGTGTTGCCTCTTTTTCACAGTATGGGATAGCTTGAAAACGGCTGGACACAAAAACCAAGGTTGGAATAGTTTTCAGAAGTGAACTCTAGGGGCCGGGGAGACGGCTCAGTAGGATAAGCGCTTGACTGGCAAATGCAAGGATCTGAGTTCAATCGCCGGTTCTGCAAAAAAAAAAAAAAAAAAAAAGTGAACTCTAGCAATCACTCATTGGGTGTGTCACGCTTCCAGCAGGTGACATTTGAAGGCAGAGTTCCTGTGCTTACTCAGGCTCCAGCTGTGGTTACATGATCCAAGTAACACACTTTTTCTTTTTATGGGTTTGCAGTTTGGTTTAATTCTGATCTGACGGGCAGAAGGAAGCGCGCCGCAGACATGCAGAGAGCAAGCTCCAGTGAGCGGCAGGCGTTGCGCAAGTGCACAGCACCACGGGGCGGCCAGGTCTGGAGATCGGGCTGAGTCCGCCAGCGCTGCGCACAGGGCCACGGTGGCTCCAGCGGCTGCTGGGTACAGGAAGTCCGAGTACTCCACAGCACCGAACGACCCCTGCATCCTTAGCAGGAGCTTCTCCGCAGCCTCAGCAGAATCTCAGGCGGCTCTTGAACTCTTGGCTCTTGGGCAGCTGCTGCAGCCCGAGGAAAGATGCAGGCAGTGGCTCCCAGGGCCGCGGGCCATCGTGCGGCGAGATCTGCTCGAGCCAGACTCCGGAGGCGTGACCCCAGCCCTTCCCCAGTGGCCGGGAGAAGCCCGGGCCTGGCTGGCTGGCTGGCTTAACAGTCCCTGAAGTTTAGTGATCAATATGATTTAGATCCAGAAGGAAATGATTTCATGTCATCTTTTCTTCACCTAAGATTTGTGTAGCATTAGAATTATTATGGGTTGATCAGTGTGTGGAGAGTCCTCAAAAACCTAGGGCTAGAGATTCCATTTGGCCTGGCTGTCCCCTCCGTGGTATCTTCCCAAATGAATGGAAAGCGCCATGCCCCAGTGATGTGTCCGCACCCCTGCTTATAGCAGCCCAGCTTGTGACAGCTACATCTTGGAAACAGCCCAAATACCCACCAACTGGGGAATGGCTATCACGATGTGGCTTCCTTTTTGTGCAATGGAGTACTACTCAGCTGGGGACAGGATAACATGGAGACATTTCTAGGTAAATGGATGCAGCCTGAGACCATATTCTTAAAAGAATTAGATTGGGCACACGTGTGTGAGTATCACATTGTCTCTGTCTCTCTGGTGTGAAAAACTGAACGAATAAATAAGAACTAAAACGTACACTAGATATTTGAAATAGGAAGAAATTGTTCACACGGAAAGGGGAATTAGGGAAGGGAAAGGGGAAGGAAGGAAAGGAAATGATGAAAGAAGGACAAGGTGGAGCACAGCTTTGTGAATAAGGAGGGAAGAGGGGAGAAGCGAACGGGAAAAGAGGAATCAAGATACGCCAGGTAAGGGACAAATTCCCCACAGAATGTGATCATTATGTATATCTAAAATGTATCAATAGGGATCAATAGGGCCGGCCAGATAGCTCGGCAGATTAAAGCACTTTCTCAGGCAGATGCAGGGACCGGGGTTCGATTCCCAGCATGCTGCGCCCGCTCTGTCCCCGGGGTGCACTGAGACAGCAATTGAGACTGGGCATGATGGTGTGTGCCTGTAATCCCAGCGCTTGGGAGGCTGAAAAACAGGAGGATCATTATAAGTCTGATCTGTGTAGTAAGACCCCATAGACCCTGTACTAAATACATAAAGAAGCAAAATAAAATTTATCAGTAAACTGTGAAACTCTCCTTTGAAAAGACAGAAAATGGACAGTTTAGAAAAAAGAAAAAATCCAAATAAAGGAAAAGCATGTGTATCCACCTTTGTTACTGAATGTCTTTCATGAAAACTAGAGTGTGCTGAAACCCTAAATTGAATGTCGTGGGCTGGGGAGGCAGCTCAGTGGTGTAAGTGCCTGCCTGGCAAGCACAAGGTCCTGAGTTCAATCCCTGGTACCAAAATAATAATAATAATAATAATAATAATAATAATAATAATTTGAGCCAGATGTGGTGGTGCATGCCTGTAGTCCCAACATTCAGGTGGCTGAAACAGGAGGATCTTGTGAGTTCAAGATCAGCCTGGGCTACAAAATGAGCTCAAGGCCAGGCTGAACCGCATAGTGAAACCCTATTTCAAAAAAAAAAAAGAAATATGTATGTATATGTACATATATATATGTATGTATATTGCATCATTGAATTAGCACACAAGTTTAGAGAATCCACAGACTCCAAGGCAAACATTCCTGCCTTAGAGTTCTTGAGAAGCCACTAAACTCTTTTTTGAATGTATTTGGTACAGAGTGTCACTATGCAGCTTGGACTGGGGCTGACATGGCATATGGAGCAGGGACTGAAGCCAGTCCCCTGAGCTATCTCGCTGGCTCTAGCAGCCACTAAACTTTAAGCACAAATGCAGACAAGATAAATAGGACTTTTCTGGTAGTAATGACCCTGTTTATTAGAAGAATATGCGTGAGTCAATAAATGGTTTGAAAAGAGCTGTGCAGAAGATTTGGGTCTAGACTAGCAGGATTATAATCTATTTAAATCTATTTATCCAGAAAAAAATCTGGCTAGTGGATTAAAAGTTAAAAAGACCTAACTGACGTTCCTTTTCCTCTGTCTCTGCCAGAACATTCAATCCATTTTTTTTTAAGGTGTTTTTGAGACAATTTCGCTGTGCAGTGCAGGCTTTCCTCAAAGACTCCGTTAACCTCCTGCCTCAGCCTCCCAAGTGCTGGGATTATAGCCACATAGCGCCATGCCTGGTAATCTCTACTGTTTTAGACTAAATCAGTCTGCATGTAGTTTTTAGTGGTTTGGGGTTTTGTTTGTGCATGCGCCTTTTCCCTCCTTAGTCTTTTACAACATTCATAATAATGAACTCTGTTAGTGGCTACTCCAACAGGTTCACTGAGACCCAGGTGACCCCCACCAGCTCAGCTGCAGAGTGGGCAATAGCCTTGCTTGTAGGACCCTGTGCAGAATAGAAATTGTAAAACAGATTCTCTGTCTCCTAAAGATTAATCTTCTGTATATTGTTAGGACCATTTTGTATCTGTATATTCAAAATAGTTAGGATAGATATACTTTCTCTTAACTCAATGAATAGAAAGATTTGTGCTACTAGTGGTGGGCAGGATATCATGTCTGCATCTTGTACTATGAATAACCACTAAGAAGACAACAATATACAACATATTAATTATTGAAACTGTTCTGCTAATCGATTTTGAAACTGTCTCATTGCTATTTGTTTCTCAAAATTATTTTTAAAAAGATTAATCTTCTGCTAATTTAAGAAAAAAATTATCAAAGTTTGTTTTGATGGATGAAATTGCTTTCAATGAAAAATGCTGGTGGGGAGGAACTCTGGGAGACACCCTAAAATGCCTTGAGCCAGGCCAGGCGTCTATTCAGGGTAGGGGGAGAGAGACGGGAGGAAGGGAAGGAGGGAGGGAGGGAGGGAGGGAGGGAGAGAGAAAGAGAGCGATCACCTGAGTCTTTACCAGGTTTGTGGAAAGAAACCTGTTAACACCTCTCTCTCTGCAAAATGTCAGAGAATCCCAGCTTTGTTTCAAAGAATGCTGGGGTCCTGCCCTGGCCTTTCATCTGTGAGAGCGGAGGCTTTCTGGCACAGCCCAAGGGCAGCAGAAGAAAGCCTCAGTCCGCCCATCCCACTCTGGAAGAGCCGTTCTCGGTCGGGCCCAGCCATCCTGCTGGCCTCCACAGCTCCAACAGTCTGGGCTGAGGGTGGAGGCCGAGGGTGGAGCCCGCGGCCAGGCCGGGGGGCCTGGAGGGGCTTAGCGCATCACACTGGTTAGGAGTTGCGATGTTACAGTCTCAGAACAACTCCAACAAGGGAGCAGATTCATAGCCCAAAAAGTCGGAGATCTGGAGGCTCGCAGACCCTGGCAAGCCCACCCCTCACTTCCGCTGGTCGGGAGTGTTTCTCCCACCGCTGCACGTCCTGCTGGACAGGGGCCCGGCTGGATGGCTTCGGGCCTGCTCTGCTTGTTCTGCTTACCTCTTCCCGGATCAGCTCTATTGATAACTTTTGGAAACTAGGTGAAAGGCCCGAGTCTCTGACCCTTTTCTTAATCTTTTTTGAGTAATGGCGTTTGATGGGCAGAAAACAAACTTGTAAATGTTGGGTTTCAGACAGGTTTGCCAGTGAAGTCTGTAGTCGGGCTCCATCCCCACCCCCGCCGCTGGAAAGCCACCTGCCGGTGACCAGGTGTCAGGGACTGAGGGAAGGAGGAGGGAAAGAAGCAGGCCTCTCAGAGGCTGGCAAGAGGCTGGGTGCAGTTTCGGGAAAGGCCGGGAGTGTGAGCCCCATGGAGCTGGTGCAGGTCAGGTGTTCTCCCCTGACAGTATTTCCTGTGACTCAATTTTATATTTTCATGAATTACAAAAACCTACACAGCTCTACAGAAAGGAGCGGTGAATGCTTACATTTCCTTTTCTTCTTTTCAATTTTTTTGGTCAAATTTTTGACCGATT